TAACCTTTATTTGCAGGTAAAAAAAATAAGCTTTTGTTATTTTTTTTTGTTGCAGGAGCCTGTAAAACATTGCACCAGTGATCGGCAGATTGCTGGTGCCATGCAGGTCTCCTGCAAACCTGTCAGTATACAGTGGGGAAAATAATTATTTGATCCCCTGCAGATTTTGTAAGTTTACCCATTTACAAAGAAATGAAGGGTCTATAATTTTTACCATAAGTGTATTTTAAATTATGGAGACAGAATATCAACCAAAAATCTAGAAAAAACACATGATACAAATGCAAATGTTATAAAGAGAGTTGCACTTCAACAGTGAAAAAAAACATTATAATGCAAGCATAGAGGTTTTTAAATAATTTAGCTAATTTTAGCAATATTTAAAAAAAAAATTAATGGCTTCTAACCCCTTCATTAGCACAAAGATAACAGTTATAGCAGAACAGAACTGCTTGAAGTTGGCTGGCTCAGAAACCCTTATGGCAGCTATATTCCCTTAGGCTATAAGCTCATGGTCACTTCAGCAACTATGAAGTTATAGCAGAAGTGTCCCCTATACTGCTGTTTCATAACTAGCTGTGATCAATGGCTGACAAGCATTTGATACAAGCCATTCTTCTAAAAGGTCCCCCCCCCTCCCCCCCACCTAAGACTGCCACCCCACAGTGTGTTCTGACTGTCACAAAATACTCCCTCCTGTGCACACAAACAACCCTTCTATGCACCTTTCACAACTCACTGTCTCTGCGTGCCCTCTGATTCCCCAGCCTTTATCAACAGATACAAATGGGTTGGGGAGGAGATATTGTGAGCACATTGTGGGGAAGATTGAATCTTCTCAAGATGGGCAACAGGGAGATCGGTAAATCTGTAAATTCTGTCAGTTTCCTGAATGAACACTGGAGCACACAGTACTGAGCACTCCTGTGTTCATTCATAAATTAAGATGTCGGTAAAATGTTTGGCATGTTCCTATCTCTTCCATTTCTGTGTGAACATAGAGGGTTCAGTACAGAGCATTTCTAAGTTTAGAAATCTCCGGGTATCAGGGGTTTGTTTAGACCCCTGATATTTCCCCAAAGCCCACCTCTCTCACACACACGCATACACAAATTACACACACAACACGTACAGATGTGCGTTACACTCACTGTAATATGCACACACCTTTTTTTTAAATGACATTCATCCAATGCTGTGCATGGCAGTGCATTGTGCCATGTAATCATGCTTTGTAACATCCTGCATTGCAATAAAGTGTCTCACTGGAATTTACTTTTGTTCTGAATGCCTCCTGCTTCAATTACATAGCTACATAATTTGGTTGAAAAAAGGCATCTGGTTCAACCAATGAAAAGGAAAAAAATTACAATCCCATATATACAATCCTATACCCACAGCTGATCCAATTTACTCCAGCAGGTAAAAAAAAAAAAATCTTCCTGGTCCCCAAGAGGCAATCGGATATTCCCTGGATCAACGTTACCTATAAATGTTAGTATCCAGTTATATAATGTCCATCCAGGAAAGAATCCAGGCCTTTTTTAAAGCACTCTACTGAGCTGGCCTGAACCAGCTCTTGAAGGAGTCTATTCCAAATGTTCCCAGCTCTTACTGTGAAAAAGACTTTCTGCATTTGGAGATTAAATCTCTTTTCCTCCAGATGTACAGAGTGCCCTCTTGTCCTCTGTGATGACCTTAAAGTGTTCCTTTCCTCCTGTCCTAGTATTAACTGAGATCAGCACAAGGGTCAATATCACTAGCTCTACAGACTCAAACGGACATGCCTATGGCAATAAATCTCATTATATTGGTGTGTATGTGACATGCAAATAGTCATATATCTCTTTACGGCTTAATTTGCTTAACAGCATGTGCATTGCAGAGGAGTAGTGTTTTATTTGCAACAATCATTGTATCAGCTGGAATTTAAAAGACTAACATTCTCTTTCCATTTGTATAGTATGACTATATTAACCATATATGAGAAATAATCATTTGCCCAGGAACAGCAGAACAAGCTTAGGATGATGGGTTTTTTTTTTTTTAGAGTTTATCATGTAAGTTTTTCTTTTCTACTTTGGTCATTATTAGCCATCCTTTTACTTTCTAAAAACTGAAATCCAAAACTAGCAGCTCAATACACGAATGCAAAATCATATAACAGGATCTGTTTTAGCTGTCAATGATTTAGTGTGTAGAGAAGGTGGAGCTTTCTTTTTAAAAATAATTGGATTACTTACCTGACAGGGGTCACCTCTTAAGGACATCAGCAAACCTTCAGGGGTTGCAGGGGGTGCTCATGGCTTGTCTTCCTCTTTTTCTCTTCCTTTCTCCCTCTTTCCAATATCTTCTTCTTTTTTCTCCTTTTTTTCATATCTTCTGCCAATTTTTTGCCTTCCGGATGTTTGAAAGGGGCTCTAGGACCACTGGTCGGCCTCCTTGGGCTCTAATTCCTGCCCGAGGGGTGATAATTAGGTTTGGAGGATCTGGCTGTTTTGATACCTAAAAGTTGGGATGATTCCTGTGAGATATGTAATTCAAAACTCAGGGAACATGGTTACAGTCTTACCTCTTCAGGAACCAAAATCTGTGTGTAAGATTATGTATGATCACCAAGGAATTATATTCTATTTCCTTTCTTATTTTCCCATTGTTTTATTTCTGTTGTGTTTAAACTTTAATAAAAAGATTGTAGACAAAAAATAATATTCCGCATATTACGTATATATGCAGCATTAGTAAATAAAATAAATATAATTATTCTTCTTTACAGAGTGATTCAGTTATTTTAATAAAGTGTATCTAAGGTATTGTGGAGAGAGCAGGGCAGAGGTAGAACTGCTGTTTTTTTTTGTTTGCTATCGGTGTCCCCATTAGGGTGATTCACCTTTTCTTTTTGTCCTCAAGACCTCTGTCACAAAGACTGCAAGTGAGGGGAAATCTGAAATTTTGAGTTGTCAGAGAGATGGTAATAGCTCTTATGGAGACATCTGTTCTGGTGATTAGGAAGAAAAATCTCTTGCTTTGGGGAGATCTCCTTTCATTTCCTATTCTGTCTCCTTATAGGAAGCGTGGAAAAGTTTCCCCAATGGGATAAAGAGAGCAAAAAAAAGGCAAGGGTTATATCCATTCTATTCTCAATTTAAAATAAAAAGGAGTTTTTTATTATTAGATATACTGTGAATACTGCTCAACCACACTACAGGCCGATGCTGAAGGAAATGTGAACCTTAAGGGGGTGTTGATGTCACAGCCCATCTTAAGCATGCTCTATAAACATGAATGATAGATGGAGCTTGGTTCCTGAGTTGGAAGGTGCTGCAGTTTTACTCCTGCACAAAGCTATAATGCTGTACAAGTACATAGGACAACTAAGTATATTTTATTATTTGGAGAATCCTATTTTTAAAAGTATGAGTTCAATAATTATACACTGGGGAGAGGCTTTACTGGATAAGGGAAAACAGCTAGAGCTACTAATGGACTCATTGACCAGAACAGAGGATGTAAAGCAAGCTGTACTGCTCTGTTGTGCTATCTATACTATAAATCTATACCAGTGTCCCCCAACCTGCAACCCACAGGGGAAGAATCAGACATTTGCTTGCCTTTATCTGGCCCATGAGGCACTATTTCTTCTACAGACACCAAGGATGAAAGGACTATTTCTCTTATTGACACCTATGATAGGGCACTACTACTCCCACTGGCATCAATGATGGGAAACTATTCCTCCCACTGACTCCAAACGTGAAGGTACTATTCCTCTTGCTGACACCAATGATGGGGCACTATTCCTGCCACTGACACTAACAATGGGAAACTATTCCTCCCACTGACTCCAAAGTTGAAGGTACTATTCCCCCCACTGACTCCAAACTTGAAGGCACTATTCCTCCTACTGACACCAACAATGGGAAACTATTCCTCACACTGACTCCAAAGTTGAAAGTACCATTCCTCCCACTGACTCTAAAGTTAAACTGACTATTCCTCCTACTGACACCAATGATGGGGCACTATTCTTCCCACTGACACCAACAATAGGAAACTATTCCTCCCACTGACTCCAAAGTTGATGGGACAATTCTGCCAACTGACACCAATGATGGGACACTATTCCTTCCACTGACACCAATGATGGGACACTATTCCTCCCAAAAACATTTGTTTAATTTCTCAAATGATGAGATAAAAAATGACCACACACAACTATATAAAGAGTCTACCTGAATGACTATGATTTAAATATGATATAAATAGATTGGTCAGATACACCCTCATATTTCTTGGTTGTAATCCTATAAATTATGCAAACAGCAAACCCAAATACTCCTGCACTTAGAGATGGACTCTAAGTCCTGGGATGTGCACTCCATGCTGCCCTCAAAGGACCGGGGAAGTCCAAATGTACTGGATATAAAGAAAACAAAACAGAGGGCACACTGGCCTGGTGCATTATCTTAAAAAACCATTTATTAAAACAATAAAAATAGGTATTGTACTAACAAATGGCAATAATGTCAAAGGCATATCATGAAAGAACAGCACTGCCCAATCCACACTACGTGGTTGGATCTTAGGAAGAGGCAAGACCTTTTTTAAGGTAATGCACTAGGCTGGTGCAGGGGTGGACTGACCATTTCTGAACTCAGGCACTGCCCGAGGGCCCTGGGTCAGTGGGGGGACCCATGAGATGCCCCTGGTACCTTTTCATAGGTTTTTTTTTTGTGTGGTTTGATTGTGGGCGAGGACAGAGGGGCCCCATGATCCCTGATTGCCCGGGAGCCCCATGAGTTGTCAGTCCCTGGGCCGATGCACCCTCTGTTTGTTTTCTTTATATCCTATAAATTGTGCATATGAAACATTTCTTTAACCACCTTCAGCCCGCCATATAGTACAATGACGGGCGCAAGGTGGTTCTCTCATTTTGATAGGACGCCATATGACGTCCCTCCCATTCTCACTGCGCATGCGCGGCGATTGCTGGTGCGCTGTGTCCCTCAGACACAGCAGATCACGGAAAGTGCTGAAGATGTCGGCTCGGTCATGTGATCAGTTGTGTCCAATCACAGCTGATCACATGTAAACACGGAAATGCCGGTTATCGGCATTTCTCTCCTTTCGAGCTGTCACACTGACAGCTCGAGAGGAGAGCAGGTAATCGGCTTTACGTGGAGGGGACATGTACACTGATCATCAGGGCACTGATGATCAGTGTGCCCTGATGATCAGTGTGGCCCCAGAAGTGCCACCTGTCAGTGTCCATCAGTGCAAGCAGTCAGTGCTCATCAGTGCCACTTGCCAGTGCCCATCATTGCGACATCAATGCCACATATCAGTGCATACCAGTGCACATCAATGCCACATATCAGTGCCCATCTGAGCTGCCTTTCATGGTCACCCATCAGTGCCAGTCAGTGTCACCTATCAATGCCAATCAGTGCCACCTATCAGTGCTGCCAATTAGTGCCACCTATCAGTGCCAGTCAGTGTCACCTATCAGTGCACATCAGTGCTGCCTATCAGTGCCAGTCAGTGCCGCCTATCAGTGCCAGTCAGTGCCGCCTAACAGTGCCAGTCAGTGCTGCCTAACAGCGTCAGTCAGTGCAGCCTATCAGTGCCAGTCTGTGCTGCCTATCAGTGCCATATATCAGTGTCATGTATCAGTGCTGCCTTTCAGTTCCCATCAGTGATGCCTGTCAATACCCATCAGTGCCACCTATCAGTGTCCATCAGTGCAGCCTATCAGTGCCCATCACTGCAGCCTGATTAACGCACATCAGTGAAGGAGAAAAATTACTTATTTACAAAATTGTATAACAAAAACAAAAAGAAAAAAATTTTTTTTTTCAAAATTTTCAGTGGTTTTTGGTTTGTTTGAGAAAAACTAAAAATCCCAGAGGTGAATAAATACCACCAAAAGAAAGCTCTATCTTTCTCAAAAAAATTATAAATATTTCATATGGGTACAGTGTTGCATGACCGCGTAATTGTCATTCAAAGTGCGACAGCGCTGAAAGCTGGAAATTGGCCTGGGCAGGAAGGGGGTACAAGTGCCCTGTAGGCTAGTGATTAAACTCACTGATATGATATACAGTTGATAACACTGCCATATTTATTTAAAAAAAAAAGCAATTCTGTTAAATATCCAGTGCTATGTATCAACTAAACTTGCAAAAACAGCACTCACATTGAATGCGTTTGTTACCTTTTTATTCAGTATGATTGTGTGTTTGTGTTTCCTTTTCTGAGTCATTTATAATGCTACATCTTTAACAAATGTAGAACATCAATAAAACACAAAAGGATAGAATAAAAAAAAAACTAAAAGTATTGAGTCTTATTTTTTGTAAAATCACATGTTTAAATATATTTTATACAAAACCTTAGTTTGGCTGGCTTTAAAAAAAAAATGATAGGCATCATGGAAAAGATGCTCTCCTGGGTGGCAAAACAAAAGAGTCGAAGGAAAAAATTGAAAGTTGACACAGTCAAGAATAATGGGTAAATCTATCAAGTTTGATCAGGTTTTCTATAATGAAGTGGAGTTTCATATTCTGAGCAGGGACAATAAAGACAGAATCTAGGTTCTAGAAATGCACTGCTCACTTATGTGCCTGGAATATGCAGCAGCCAGCAGGGAGCCACAAGATAATTACACAGTATTTGTGTGGTTCCAGGAAGCTTCCTGCGCAGGTTGAATGGTTGCACTACATTAAATGCAGCACAGAGAAATGTTTTTAATGAATATTTTTGTCAAGGAAAGAAAGGCAATTGAGTGATTTTTGTATAAAAGAAACCAGAGGTGGAAACATTAATGTCAAAATACTTTTATTTATTTTATTTTATTTTATTACAATATTTACAATTTGAAGAGCCTGATATACTTTCAATAGTGTCAATAAAAACAGTGTTAATAGCTAATGATAGCAATTCACCTAATGCTTAAAATGATCAAGTAATCAGGGGTAACTAAGTGAAGTAAGGCAGCCACTATTAAGGAATCTACACAAATAGGTTTAGAATTGATTAATCTTACATGTTCATACAATACTCCAATTTTGTGTGACTGTTAACCACTACATACTACTTGTATAGTTTACACAATGGAGAGCCATTTGTTCCATCTGTTTAGTAATCAGCCACTACAAGTCATTAATCATTAGCATTTTAAGTAACATGATTGCTACGTGATTAATCACTCATGAAGATTTACTTTAAAAGAAGTATTAACCACTTGAGTTCTGGAAGATTTACCCCCCCCCCCCCCCCCCCCCCTTCCTTCCTGACCAGGCCATTTTTTGCTATTCAACTGGTGCACTACTCAACATGCACTATTTCAACTGGTAATTGCGCGGCCATGCAAATCTGTACCCAGAAATTTATGTCCTCTTTTTCACATATATAGAGCTTTCTTTTGGTGGTATTTGATCATCACTGGGATTTTTATTTTTTGTAAAATAAACAAAAAAAGACCGTAAATTTAGAAAAAAAAATGACATTTCCACTTCCTGTTATAAAAAATATACAATAAACTCAAATTTAGTCATTCATTTTGGCCAACATATATTCTGCTACGTGTCTTTGGTAAAAAAAAAAAAATCTCAATACGTGTATATTAATTGATCTACAAACTATGGTATATATATATATATATTGTGGGAACTCGCTTCCAGTGGTAGAACTTTGTTAAACGCACACAGCAACTCGCTTTCTTTTTTAAGGCCTTTTTAGCCCACTTTTATTTAAAGAAAATGTTCCATAAAGCTTCCCACGCAGGGATATCCACCATCAAACACATGCAAATGAAAATTCAGCCTCCTGGCTTGTACACAGTTCTATGTCTGTCTCCTACAGACTCTTTCCAAAATTTTGGCTCTCGCGCACAGCTGGCCACTAGCACACAGCTAGTCTGGCTTCCACCTCTCCTTGGTGAAGCCCTCCTGACTCCAAGGCAGATTCCTCCTGTCTGCCGGGGTGGGGCCCTCCTGACTCCTGTCTGCCGGGGTGGAGCCCTCCTGACTCCTGTCTGCCAGGGTGGAGCCCAGAACCCTGGTCCTGACTCTACAAAAGAGCCATGCACACCTGTGCAATCAGTGTCCTGGCCATTCCCAAAACCTGGTACCAGAACTGGAGATTTCATCCCTCCCAGATCTCTTTGAAATCTCAAGGCTCCAGATCCCAAAACGGACTTAATGAATAAATGAGAAAACCGAAAAACCAGTTTCCTCTGCAATACATCAACCCTCTGGAGCCCCTCAACCTGTCTGATTGAGAATCCTGGGTGAAATAACTCTTCCACATCGTGACAGATCGCCACACATTTCTTGAGGTGCTAAAATGCCAGGGCAGTACAAACCACCCCCCCCCCCCCACCCACAAATTAACCCTTTTTGTAAAGCAGGCACTCTAAGGAATTTGCTGAGAGGCATGTTGAGTCCATGGAATATTTTGTTTTTGCCAAATGGAAAATGACAATTTTTTTTTTACACAAATGATATATTGCTCACACATACCATGGTAATATGTGGAATAACACCCCAAAACACATTCTGCTACTTCTCCCAAATATGGGGATATCATATGAGAAATTGTTTTGCAACCTAGCCACATACAGGCCCCCAAAACCCAGTGACCAAATTCAGGCTTTCAAAGGGCATATTACCTCACATCACTTCCTCACTACCTATTACAGTTTCAGAGGCCCAAAAATGCCAGGATAGTACAAATCCCCCCACCCTTCGGAAGGTAGACACCCAAAGGAATTTGATAAGAGGCCTGGTGAGTATTTTCAGATATAATTTTTTTGTCACAGGGTTTTGGTAGAGAATAAAAGAAAAATTACATGTTCATTTTCTTTCCTCATTTTTCAAAAACATGTGGCAAAATACTCACCATGCCTCTTAGCAAATATCTTGGAGTGTCTGCTTTCCAAAAAGGGGTCTTTTGAGGGGGCGATTCTGCTATCCTGGAGTTTTATGCCCAACATTAGAAGCTTATGCCACACATCACCCACTCTTCTAACCACTAGAAGACCAAGCCTTTTCTGACACTTTTTCTTTACATAAAAAAAGTTTTTTGCTAGAAATTTACTTTGAGTCCCAAAACATGATATATACTTTAAAGCAGAGGCCCTAGAGAATACAAGTATGGGTGTTACAATTTTTTATGTCACTTATTTGTGCAGCGATTTTTCAAACGCAATTTTTTTTTAAAATACACTTTTTGGAATTTTAATGCACAAAAAACACAATATATTGCCCAATTGTTTGATAAAATATAAAGGAGGATGTTATACCCAGCAAATAGATTTCAAACATAACATACTATAAAATTGCGCACGTCTGTGCAATGGCATCAAACTACGTAAATCTTAATTATCCATAGGCGATGCTTTAAAATCCGTTATATGTTACCTCTTTAGATTTACACAGGAGGTCTAGGGCTAGAATTACTTCCCTCAATCTGACGTTTCCAGTGATACTTCACATGCATAGCAAAATCTCTTTTTATATATCGACACTGGACCTACACTTGTGTTCGCCTTTGCACACGAGCAAGGGGCGGGGTGATTTTTTTTTTAATTATTTATTTTGCTCTTTTTTTTTTTTTTTTTTTTACACTGTCATTTTCATTTTTTTAAATCACTTTGATTGTTATTAAAGGGAATGGAGATGTTCCCTATGATAGCAATAGGCAGTGACAGGTACTCCTTTCTGAGAAATTTTTGGTCTATTAGACCAGTGTTTCTCAAACATTTTTCGGTCAAGGCGCCCTTTAAAATTATGGACAGTCCCAAGGCACCCTTTAAAATTATGCACAGTTTTGAGGAACCCCATTCAAAATTGTGAAAACCTAACACAGCAACATCCAAGCATGCAGGACACCCAACATTAGAGGTGATTTATTCTTCCAAAGCAAATACGCTTTTGCATGCTGGCACTGACTAGTTTTCCAATGTTTCTCTTCTCCCTCTTCATCACTTAGCTAATGTGACCTCAGCACTGATGGAGAGGGGTGGGGGAGGGTCAAACTAGGATGCTGTGCAGGCAGCTGACATCCTCCTTATCAACTGATGATGTCATTGGTTGTCAGGATGCCGGTGGCTAGAAGGTCATAAAGGTACACAATGAAAACCTGTGGCTTTGTGTAACTAAAAGGCAGGCTTGTTCCACCCTCTGCCTTGTATACAAGTTTTGGGCAATTTTAAGATATTTTGCCAAGGCACCCCTGAAGAAACCTCACAGCACCCTGATTGAGAAAGGCTGTATTAGGCTGTAGATCACTCCTATGCCCTTAAAGCATCTAATCACATCGAGATCGGTGTGATCAGATGCTTTCCAATTTTAAAATGGCACTGTTTATATCAGGCAAAACTGAAATGATGAAATGCTTGTAGCTTCCAGTTTCTTAAACTATAGAGATGATTGGAGCCACTGCAGTCCCCAATCAGCTCTATGGTCAGCAGGCAGAACCTCTGGC